TAACGACGTAGCCGTTCACAGAATCTAACAAAACCATGACGTAAAAAAAACTCACAAACACTTCGAGGACGGTCAGAATCGCGGTCACACGGAAATCACACTTCTTTAGCGGAAATTAATGAAAAATTTACGCGTAACCTTCACTGCCTCGGACTTGATGTTCCAGAATGACTAACATAACCGAAAATCTGAAATTAACACAACATATTGGTAAAAACCTGCCGGATTTAAAATCACTTCCGTCTTGAATAATCTCGCGTTACGTCCTTCAGACCACATCACTAACCTAACCTCACATTCACCTTTCCTGCGGAGTGGTTCCGCAGATCTACTCTAGGACTGCCTACAAACTCTCCCGTACGAACGCGTTTAAAAGAAATGACGACACTCCCGACACACACACTCACGACACACACACTCACCCAAACGCTCGCGCGCGCACGCAGACACACACAAAGGAAGAATACATACAAACAAAATGAAAGTTTCGAATTTCTTCATTACATGTGCGCTTCTGCTCCAACCTCTTCTTCTCTAGCACTACGGCCCTTTCAGTGTGTGAGCTTCTTCCAGAATTGGGTTGGTAGTCCGATGTGCACCCCCCCACGGTCCTCCATAAGTTTTTATTCCGGGTTCTTTCCCTTAGAAGGACTGGTTTCTCTATCCCTATGCAGCCCCTTCTACCCTTGGTTTTCTGTCAGGGTTTTCCTTCCCTTAGCCTTTGGGGATTCCTCCCCTACCCACAAGGCAGTGGGGGCACTGAGCTCATGTGGTATTTGATGGGTGTAGCCTGCCACCAGCTACACTCCCACGCTCTCCGGTCTTGCCGCCTCGGTCCGGGACTGCCCCTTATTCGCAGCTAACCCTCATATCACTATCCGCCACCTGTCGCCCGCCCAGTACCTGAGGCTCGCCCTGGATTACGACTGAAATAAACAAACACGACGTTACGGATACGGATCCTACACATCTCCGTTACACTTTTTCGCCGAATGACCCTTCCGTGTAGACGTATTTACGTCAAAATCATTGCTTTATATTATGGAACTCTTAAGGTTCATTGTCGTGTTCAGATCATCCACCTACCTAAAGTCAATTGAATCTGTTAAATTTTGTGCGGTACATGTCTCAACCATCTCATACTCCTTGAATTAATCACTCTAAAATGTTAAATTGAATCATAAGTATGAAGTTCCCCATTGAGTAAGAAACTAAACTAACCCCCCCCCAAAGGGTGGTTAGTTTTGTGTCTTATCCAAGTGTTTTAACCCTTGAATGCGCAGTATGACTTGAATGAGTATTCTTATCAGTATCAGATTACCTTGTTGGTGTTAGTACGTCTTCTCTCACTTTTCTTCATTTCTTAAATAGTTTTCTGTCGCTGTTCGGAGACGATGTGCTGCTTGTAGAGCAGTGATCATGCGACTGGCTTGGTATTTGTTTATTTATTACGTTATTTGTTTACTCGGCATTGTTGTGTTTCTATACCAACACAACAATGCAGAGTATAAACAAATATCTGTTGCCATTGTTTGAAGACGTCACCTTCTGTCACCGGGATCTAAAAGACACACAATTGAAAATATATAAATCACTTTTATATTACTGTTAATTAAATTAAGCAATGAAGCTATAACACACCCATCACAGTTTCTAGAGTTCACCTCAGTGAACAATACAAAACACATACGGATGTGTTCAAGGTCGTATTTTTCTGTGTTCATTGTACACGTTTTTCAGATTCTGTAATACTACAGATTCAGAAATATAAGATATGAAATGTTGACAGAGGAACTACGGTTCCGGAGAATCTGACGTAAATACGTCTCTATAATGTAATGTAATGTAATAATTCTTACATAAGATAAGTACCTGTGATATTCTAAAACGTTTTTACCAGCACAAAATTATCTATTCTACGACGCACTTATTCTACAGCCGATTCACAGCTCAGTTCTTTCCGCAATAACGAAAGCGGATTGTTGACGGCAGTAATGTAACACAACAATGCCGAGTAAACAGATCACGTAGCAATTAGTTTCTTAGGTAACATAACCATTGTTATGTTACCTGGGAAACGTCAAACTTCATTGATATGTTACCTGGGAAACGTCATCTGTTTATCAACAAATAAACAACAATGGTTACCTACATAGTTACCTTACATTACATTACATTACATTCATCTACCACAGACCCATCTTAAGCGTAACTAATTCAAGTTAAATAAGCAATGTCTTAATCAAACTTTACTCGATTGTAAAGCAGGTGTGACGTATTTACGTCAAATTATCCGGAACCATGGTTCCACTGACAACTTTTTACATGCAAAACAAATTAATTAGAATAATGGCCGGTGTCAAAAGCAGGGTGTCTTGTAGGAAATTATTTCGTAAATTTAATATACTTCCACTTGGAAGTGAATTTATACTCTGCTGTCTATCATGTGTGGTGGAAAACTTAGATAAATTTAAAAGAAATACAGATGTACATAATTTAAATACAAGATGGAAACGTGATCTCTATGTGCCAAATCCTAACCTTACTAAATATCAAAAAGGAGTCTACTATACAGGTATCAAGTTGTTTAATAATCTTCCAACAGTTAAAAGTCTAAGTTATTAAATAAAGGTATTCAAGCCTGCATTGAAATATTACCTCTTCACTCACTCTTACTATTCCGTAGATGCTTTCATCTCTGCTGAAAATTTTTAAGCTTTATGTATATCTATAATCTATATGTAAAGCAAATTTTGCATTTCTATTTAAAATTTAAAATTCTGAAGTTTGTATATATTAATTTGTTAAAATTGAGTAAGACACTAAACTACCCCCCCCCCCCAAAGGGGCGGTTAGTTTTGTGGTTAAAAGACTTGAAACCCCCTTCCTTTCATTGTATTTATCGCCTAAATATAATTTAAACACAGAGGCGTCAGTTTTCGTAAGCAGTATGACTTGAATGAGTATTATTATCAGTATCAGATTACCTTGTTGGTGTTAGTTCGTCTTCTCTCACTTTTCTCGATTTCTTAAATAGTTTTCTGTCGCTGTTCGGAGACGATGTGCTGCTTGTAGAGCAGTGATAATGCGATTGGCTTGGTATTTGTTTATTTATTACGTTATTTGTTTACTCGGCATTGTTGTGTTTCTTTACCAACACAACAATGCAGAGTATAAACAAATATAAGGTGATGACGTCATTTTTTGACGACAACGAAAATCACAAATTTTTATAGTAAGAAGTTTTTTGACGACAACGAAAATCACAAATTTTTATAGTAAGAAGTTTTTTGACGACAACGAAAATCACAAATTTTTATAGTAAGAAGTTTTTTGACGACAACGAAAATCACAAATTTTTATAGTAAGAAGTTTTTTGACGACAACGAAAATCACAAATTTTTATAGTAAGAAGTTTTTTGACGACAACGAAAATCACAAATTTTTATAGTAAGAAGTTTTTTGACGACAACGAAAATCACAAATTTTTATAGTAAGAAGTTTTTTGACGACAACGAAAATCACAAATTTTTATAGTAAGAAGTTTTTTGACGACAACGAAAATCACAAATTTTTATAGTAAGAAGTTTTTTGACGACAACGAAAATCACAAATTTTTATAGTAAGAAGTTTTTTGACGACAACGAAAATCACAAATTTTTATAGTAAGAAGTTTTTTGACGACAACGAAAATCACAAATTTTTATAGTAAGAAGTTTTTTGACGACAACGAAAATCACAAATTTTTATAGTAAGAAGTTTTTTGACGACAACGAAAATCACAAATTTTTATAGTAAGAAGTTTTTTGACGACAACGAAAATCACAAATTTTTATAGTAAGAAGTTTTTTGACGACAACGAAAATCACAAATTTTTATAGTAAGAAGTTTTTTGACGACAACGAAAATCACAAATTTTTATAGTAAGAAGTTTTTTGACGACAACGAAAATCACAAATTTTTATAGTAAGAAGTTTTTTGACGACAACGAAAATCACAAATTTTTATAGTAAGAAGTTTTTTGACGACAACGAAAATCACAAATTTTTATAGTAAGAAGTTTTTTGACGACAACGAAAATCACAAATTTTTATAGTAAGAAGTTTTTTGACGACAACGAAAATCACAAATTTTTATAGTAAGAAGTTTTTTGACGACAACGAAAATCACAAATTTTTATAGTAAGAAGTTTTTTGACGACAACGAAAATCACAAATTTTTATAGTAAGAAGTTTTTTGACGACAACGAAAATCACAAATTTTTATAGTAAGAAGTTTTTTGACGACAACGAAATGATGATTAATAATTAATGAACTTGAAAGGAAAGGAGAAGGAAGAAGAATTGGCCTATTTTGAAGTAATGTT